TAAGATTTGGGACCAAAAATGGGAAGTTAACAAATACATACTTCTCATGTCATATTGAATCTTTGAACACATGACTTTTGTGGTGCTGTTATACATATAAAATATCTTTTCAAAAACAGCTCTGCTCATCCTGTCCCACTTCATACAAAAGTGTGAATATTTGTACTGGGAGAAGTAGATATCACAATATGTTCCATAAACCCAGAGACACATTTGAAAATTCACATTTACCCAACCACACTGCAGATCTCAGCTGGTTGTGGTAATATTTAGCTTAAATACATCAATTTTATGAAACCCCCACCCCCAAATATAGCAAGAGTTTGGATACATTTAATATTTATTGTAAAGCAAGAGATATCCTTTGCATGGGACTTTTTTATATCTAAGGCAAGAAAGTGTCATTTTAGAATAAAATGTATAAACTGGCTTGCAGTTCCGCAGTAGTGAATATTTAAATTCCCCATAATGAACCCTGGGTATGTTATTTTTTGTATGAATTTCTGTGAAGTGGAATCTTTGAAACAAGTAGTAAAATTCTATGCGTAGGACTCTTTAAGAGCAAGATCCATGAGGTGCCTTGGTGTCCTTATGTCTTGTTGGTAGGAGAAAGTGTAATGGGAAGTCTAAAAGATTATGATAGTTTTGCATATAAACATATAAGGAAAATTCTCATGTCTGAGGTACAACCCACAACGGTTACAGGAGATGCCACAAATATAACACAGCAGTTATATTCTGTTTTTACAGGTAATCTATGGCCTACAGAGATATTTTCAATTCATCTTCAAACTCTGTTTTACAATTTGTTTACTTTGGCTACACAGCAGAGAGAGGATTTGGCCCTCCAAGCATAAGTAACTTCAGTTATACCACCACAACTGATTTTCACCCAGCTCAAAAAAAAATGCATAATTACACTGTCCTTCCCTTCCCTTCCCTTCCCTTCTCTTCCCTTCCCTTCCCACAGCATGCATTACAGTACAAAGCAATCAGCACATTGCTTCAGGCAGTGAACTGCTTTGGCTTTTTCTCAGTTATAGATCATATTTTCAGATTACTTTTACTGCAGTATTTTAATTGGTGTTCCTACAGTCCTTTTAACAGGATTTTATTGTTTAAATATGGAGAAGCTGTCTTCACGTTGTCAGGTAGCATGAAAGGATTGCCCTTAACCTTGCAGTCCTCTAAGCATTGGAACAGGAGATAAATAAAATGGGGCTTGAAATAGATTATGTCTACTCTTAATACTGACGATGAATTAGCTATATCGTCTACCTGCAGACAGTTCTGTTCTTTTGTACAATCAGTATATTACTTTTTCCAGGACATTATATCAGCTATTAGGAATAGCCACCTCCAATTTTAGTCTTACTAAGAACTTCTGTAGTTATTGCAAAGGAATAATTTGACTCCTTTTTGGACAGTGTTAACAGAAAGAAAATATTTTTGCAGCAAATTGTGTGGAGGTTTCCTGCATTTCATTTACCAACCCTCCTTATTTGTTATCTCCCTAGTAATAAAAAACACTGTGAGGTTTTTCATCTTTATAACTCCTGAATACCAAATGTAGTTATTTGCATGAGGAGGACTGTTTCAAAAGCAATAAGTCGTAGTGGCCTTGGAGAGAAGGCCTTATTCAGCATTCAGCAGAGGAACTTGAACTGCCTGAATCTGCCTCATTATATAGGCCATATGCAGTAAGTCACACTGCCTAACAGCTGCTGGTGTTAGGATTAAGGGGAAAATATTTAATTTGATGCAGAAGCACGTATGTTGTGATTTCTGCAGTAGCTTCTACCTACTCTCTAGGGTGCATGCTAGATATATGGCATAACACTCAAATCATTTAATTGTGTCAACAAAATATGGCGATGTTTGTTTAAAATAAAAATTAGTTTTGCTACAAAATTGATTAGTTGATGGTTACTTCACTGTCACTGTGCTGGTGGATAGAAAGACAAAAGGATTTTTTTAATCTTAGGGGAGGGTTTGAAGTTCCGGTGAGACCAGAGCAAATATACAGAACATAAACTTGAATTAGTCTTTCTGTTTAGTGAATCAATAAAACAGGGAAGTGTGAAGAGTAACCTGGATCATCTATCAAAGTGGAGATATGCTCCTCTTCTCACTGCCTTGTAAACAAATGCCTTTAGCATTCTAGTACCCAGGAGAATCACAGACAAAAGGACAGACATAGTTTTCAGTTTGCAGGTGTACTGCCAATGACAAAAACAAGGGAAGATGAGAACTGAGCAAGCTGCTTTCCCAAAAATCTCTAAAGTAGTTCAGTCTAAAATTCCCAAGTGACAACTCATGTATACAAAGATATCTCTTTGCTAACTGCAGTAATGAAGAGTGTATTTTATGCAGAATGCTGATAAAATTACATAAGGGAGAAAGTGTGTCCTAGGTTTGAAAAGAGTGGAAAAAAAAAATCAAGTAAGAAAACATAATTATGTCAATAATGGAAGCTTGCTTCTCTCCATCAGGAGTCAGATCAGCAATCATAGATACAGCTCTGTGAGAAAACCCAAATCTGATCATAATACCGAATGAGTGGATTTGCCGTATTTTCAAATCCATAATGATGAGTGGCAATTAGTTAGATAAACTGGATTATGAAAAAGTAAAAATCTACTGAAATAACTCAAATTACTATTGCTTTTTACTTCTTTTGGTGTAAATTGTGCACTAATTCTTTTTCAAGCAATACATAAGCAGTAAAAGAAACTGTAACAAGGGTGAAAAAAAAAGAGGAATAGCAAGAGCTATGCTGATAAGAAAGAAAATGCTGCTCAGAAGCATAAATCACTTCTACTGCTTCCTTGAAGAGGTAAATGTCTATGTGAATGTAGATTCCTCCTTGCTACAGATTAGGTAATGTACACTTTAGACATCATCACTTCTTTGGTTTTGAGGATGTACTCCATTTTTCATGACAACGCCCTGATAAAAAGTCATAGATGATGGTATTGCATGTGACAATGAAGAGTGAATGTGTGACAATGCAGTGGTTAGGGAGCGAAGACACCCTCAAGAAATCAATGACCCATTGACTATATGTGGAGAAGTCATCAGCTGCTTCATTCCTGCTTTTTAATCCAGCGAAGTTGACAAGGACCAAATACAATTGCCAAAATAAGGTGTTTAGTAGCCTACATGTACTGAATTACTGTTTTAATTCCAGTTTCTTGTGGACAAATTATCTGTATCATATCTTTCACCCTTGATAGTGGATCACCCGCTGTTCTGATGAACTGTTGGGGATTTTCTCCAAGCTGTATTTAAAGTATGTAACTGATGTGTTTAAGGAAAATTGCAAAGATAATGGGCAAAGACCCTTTGGTCCAGAGCATATGAAAATGTCATGAAGAGATCTACTTTGTTTTTGTGGTAATCAGGGACATCTTGTATGTAATTTTTTTCACTTCTGCTTCCCCACTTCCCTCCCATCTATGAAATCAAATCAGTCACTTTTCTTTCTCTGCAAACTGATAAAAGATCTCCAAGTAGAAAATACAGTATATGAGGTCAGTATGGTATTATATCCTATACATTTCATCAGCAGACACACAGAAAAACTTTTCTTCAGGTTTTCCAGTCCTTTGTTTAAGCTCCAATTTTTCTCATAGTTTTTCAAAAAATGCAGTTGCTACAGTAATTAGAATGAAAGAAGGGAGGGAATAAAGTAAATATAAATGTTAAATGGGAGAGAGAAAGACAGAAAGCTGCTGGAGCACAGATTATAAATTAATGCTGCTATGCTGCAGAACAGAACAATTTTGTGGAAGATATTTTTTGCCAGAAATAAAAACCTAGCCAAGCAATATTTTGAAGCATGCCATTACCCTCAGGGTGGAATCTGGCAAAAGAGTCAAGTTGTTTTGTATGTTACCTTTGAAACTGTGTGGTTTTAAATCTTAGCTTGTGCTTCATTGACACGCAATTCCAAGCATACATAAAGGCATACTGCTAAAACAGCTATAAATGGTTATTTTTTTACTGTTTGATCACCTCCCCTGTAACCACTGATTTCTTTCTAACTATTATAACTGTAGTTTCTTGCATTCAAAGTCATTCCTCAAGGACAACAAAGGATGCCAATAAATTCAAAGGCAAGAGTGTGAAATGAAATATGTTTGGCCTTTTATATGTAGCATCCAGCTATACAAAATTTATGCTTTAAACTGTCAATTAAATAAGCAGCATGAACTTTTTCTTAGTGACTAAGTAATATCCTAATACTGTCCAGTGCTTGGTGACAGAGCTCTAAGAGGCCACAGTGGTGCAATAGGGACAACTAACAATGGATTGCGGATTGTTTGATTACCACGTAAGCAATGTAGACTAAGCACAACATGTGAATTAAACTATCACAATGGCAATTTGTAAAACTTATGCAAGAAATTAATTTTAGCATTATTTACTAACACTTCAAAAGAGACAGTAGGATTTGGTTAGTCTTCTTATGTTACTTACTGTCTGCTTGTGCTTCTCTCTGCCCTCTTCAATTTCTGTTGTTTCTACCATGGATCAAATTTCTTGTGTAGGTTATCAGGTGATAACAGATTCTTTTTGAGTATTTATCTTACCACTGCATATTAACTCAAGCTCCTAGCCTTGTGATGGGCATTACCCTAATACGGCTTTTGCCCCAAAGAGATTCATCCTGATAATATGAGGACTTCAGTAAAGGATCTCATTTTTGCTTTTAAATAAATGACCTGTTATTCAAAGACAATTGAATTGGTGTTGTCTATAAACACTAAATGTTAGTAGAATGTCTGAAGTCTTCAAAGTTAGCAAAAAATTATTTTTAAACATCTGATCCTGGAGATGAGAAGATTCAAGATAAGCATATGTGAGAGTCTGGGGTTTATATAATTATAGAAAATTAAGATATTGATGTATGTTTAGATGAATAAAAGCCTACAGTATTTAATTGCCTGAAACAATAATGTAATATGAAATTATAAGATATATTGTACATGTCCTACCTTAATTATAGTTACATATTCTGATTTTCATCAGCATTCCAGCAGGCTGAATAAAAAAATTCTGCAACACATAACTCTATAACAAAGGAACACAACAAAATGAAGATGAAAAGAGATATAGACAGTGCTCATGAGTAAGAAAAAAAATGTCAGAGCAACCACACCAGCGTAGTTAACCGAGTAGGATTTCTGAACACAAATCCATCAAGCAATACAGGGGTTATGTATGCAGTAACACTGATAATGGAGATAGTTTTTGTAAGAGAGAAGAGGAAAAAGTGTTTTAATGATTGCTGCATGAATACTTTACTAGTAGAGCTTGCTGCTCTTCGTACATAGAAATAGTGATGTCATTTCAAGTAGTCTTACTCCAGACTAAGAGTTTTCCAGTGAATTAATCAGATTTTAGTCATACCATTTAACAGTTGAGGAGCAGGTTCAGCAAATGGTACAGCTAGAGTAAGTTTTTTGAGATGTCACTAATATTGTCTTTTAAACATGACATTACTTGAATCAGTGCTGTGCCTTAGAAAGTGAAAACTATACTGTCCTTGACATTACCCTCACTAAATAATATTTTTTCACATATATCAGTCCATAAAATGTTTGTTAGAACTGATGGTATCTAATTTTGAACACATTTTTTTTCATAAAATCAGACATTAAAAAAAACTACCTCCTTTTGATTTATGGAAACTCATTATGATGCATATAGCAGACTCCTGACTCAATCAAGTTATTTATAAAACAATGAGCACAAGAGAGCCCACCCCCCCACAAAATGCCTATTGTAGGAAGAGCTCCAGTTTAACTTACAAATGGAAATGAATGAAAATTATAAAAAGTAGAAGTGAAAGTAACCATCACATCTTACCCAAAAAAATGCTTGAGCTTTGAGATTTTCTAAATGTTTGAGCTCTTTGGAATCTCAACCCCTTCAGAGAATGACCACAGCATTATATTAGGTATTGCATCAACAGGATTTTTTGTGTTCTGAAAGATATGAGAGTTTTTGAAAAATATTTGTTGTTTTAAATTCATTCATTAGCTTTAAAGAAATATAAAATAAAAATAAATAACTTCCGAAGATTCCCTGCCCTTCCTCTTCTCTTGTGGACACATTTCAAAGTATGTTCTTTTGAAATAGTTACAAATTACAATTTGACCAAGTTCTACTTTGGTTAGCATTTATGAAACTAATTTCTGAATGTCATAGTCTTTCCTGTTTAGGAAATCTAGACATAGATAATCAAAAAAGTGATTGTATGCCATGGCACTACAAAATGACTAGTGAAGCACTTCATCACAGCCCCTCGTCCATGCTACAGAGTGAGCCACAGAGTAACTCAGGCTTTCACACGCTTGTGCCATCATCCTTTGACTAAAAGAGACTTTTTCAACCTGCCATGATGTACTCAGTATTCTCTTTCTTACATCCAATGTCCAAGCTGAACTCAGCATTAGATATTGTTAAAAACAATTAGTTCTAAAGCCTGGGGAGAAGGGAACAGAATAAGGCTAACATTTCTCTGCATCAGTGGTTATAATAAAAATATGCTTTTGCCTTTTTAACTTCAAAAATTACATTTTACTGGCTGAACCAAAGCCTCAGCTAATGTTTAAAAAGAGGAGAATGTTGAGTAATTTTCAACAACAAAAATATATTCCTAATGAACCTTTAAGCAAATCTTCTTGCTGAACTTGTTCCTATACCTGAAAAGAAGCTCCAGTAGTTCACACACCACTGCCTACTCTATGTGTAAAATAAACCAAAGAAATCCCTGACTAATATATACCAGAAGAAGCCTAGATTAAATGGATTTTCAAAATGAGATTGTAAAGTTGATATTAATCATAGTATCTCAATGAAGTTATCATTGTGTTGTGGGCTTTTAAGATACCATGCTGCATATTGTATGTCATTCTTTATCATGGGAAAAACCATAAGGGTGTTAGATTTAGCCCAATTCACTAATTTTATTCACCTTCAATAATATGCAGTTATGAGTTCACACAATTAATAAATAAGTTTAATTTCAAAAAACCAAAAGTTTTAAGCATGGTAACCTGGTTGTGGAACATATTTCTAGTAGTATTAGAGCGCCAAGAAACTAGCTAAAATGGAACTAGATAAGTTAAAGGAAGGGATTAGATGATGTGGTTCCCTATAATATCAGGGGCCTGGACTTGATAACCCAAGATCATTTCTAGTCCTATCTGCTGCAGAAAAAGATACTGATCTTGCAGATTAGTGAAGCAACCTTAGCTTAGCAAAATACTAAGAGCTAGATTCTATCTCAGAGTCATAACAGGTATGGTACAGAAAGACTGATAGAAAAGAGGTGCACAAACCATACTATAGAGGAAGATCTCTCATCTTTAAAAAGTATGGCATTCACTGTGTCTCAATGTTTTGCTGATCCCTCCTTTCTCTACCTAAAAGGAAAGAAGAAACAGGTAACCAAGTCAAGCAGATTTTTTCTTAGTAAAATCTTAATTTGGAAATAAACACTAACCCCAGTGTTCACAAAGAAACATATCTATCTACAACTGACTCAAAAATATTTAAGAGTTCGATCGATCTATTTTGTATTTCTTTTCCATTGATCTGCTTTAATGCTTCAAAGAAAGCACATCTGATTACACAGCTGGGTGGGAAAACAGAAAGGCCACATATAACAGCGTCTCAGCTCTCCTATGCAAACCACTTCTGGTTCCTATTGCACAGTGGAATTATTGATGACTGGATTTGGTACATATTCCACGATAAAGACTAGACACTGAAAATACTACAGTGCTTTGTTGCATATATTGATATAAATCGATAAAAGCAAGCACCAGTATATATTGATAAAAGCACCAGCTGCCTTTTTGTCCAACCTCTGAAGAATAGCTGATGATTTTCTTCAAAAGTCACCTATTAAATCTTATTTTAATAGGCCATTAGAATCTCTGTAGGTTTGTTATTGAACATAGGCTGGAGATTGTTACCAGGAGTGATAATTGATACGAAAGGTTTTTAAGGTCAGTTTGAGCATTCTTTGGTCATACCTCAAATTCTTTTTCAGCCTCTCTAATTTCCTTTCCTGTTCTCATTCAAGCAAACCTTCCATTTTTTAAAAGTCAGCCTTTTTCCTGTGATAGTTTCCTTAATGTTTTCAATGTGCTGTGATTGTTTACAGTAGCGTGTTTGGATCATTTTGTTTTCTTCTTGAATTGTAGGACAAATTTTACTTAGACTTTGACATAAAAAAAATTTAGAACCTTCCATCTGTTAGTAAATTTCACACTTTTTGGACTGTTATTTTTATGTTCTTCCTTCCCTCTTTATGTATTTACCTCTCATGGATTTGAACATCCACATGCTAGGTTTACTTGCCTAATTATTGCAGTAGCACTTACTATATTCTTCCTGTCCCTGTTCCTGTCCCCAGAGCTAGGACAAAAGTAGTTGTATCACTTTGAGTCAGGTGTCTTTTTGCACATCTTAGCTTTCTCCCAGTTTCTCCCTTCTTATTCAAAATATTAATCTACAACACTTTTCATTTTCATTACTTGACTCCATTATGATTAAGTTTCAGGCCATGCTGCCTGTGCAATTTACTCCTTCAGAAAAATTCCTCTGTTCCTAACATACCTATATCCCTCCTATCTACACCATTGCTTCATTCACACCTTTGAGCTTCAAATTTCTGCCTAGTTCTCAGGTCTTGAATAAAGAGCTGACAGGATTTGAATAATACTGTTATTGAGATGTTAGCCTTAGTTGTCTTTCCTAGCAATCAAAATTTAGCTTCCAAAAGCTAAGGCTTGCAGAAGCACTTAATTTATCCAAGCTTAACCATTCCTTTATCTCCCAGTTGAATCTGCCAATAAAGACAGCATCAAAAATACGCAGATTAGAGCAATAACTTCTGTGATGTTGAAAACCTCGTGTAGGAACCATAAATCAAAAAAAAGGCAACCACTAATGAATCACAGAGTTCCAACTAACTCAGATATTCAGTTCATGTTAAAATAGACCATTAACTGTTATTTTCTTTGGAGTACAAGCTATTGAGATAGATATAGGCCTTGCTATTTGACTTCATATGGCCCTTATTATGTAGACTATTAGACTAACTCATCATAAAAATCACTTCTGACTTAAAGAGCTACAGTTCTAGGAATTACTGTAGGTGATGATGATATGTAGCAATTCCAATTCTAGATCACATAGAAGCAATAAATCTGAAGTTAGGAGGTTTGATACTGAATTAAAAGTATGAGCAATCCAAAACAGAATAAAATCTGGATTTAAGTGAGTGACAATTGATTGAAAGCAACAATAAATCTACCATCTTCTGTAAAGATAGAATAGTAGCATTTTTTTTTTTTTTCACCTTAGTCTGCTTTTCTCCCGCTTTTTCTCTTTTATACAGCACATTAACACATCCCAAACTGAAAGTAGAGACACCATGTAAAGGGGCTACATTTGTTTGGAGGAAAGAATTAACTTCTTACAAGAGGCTTAAACTTCTTAGGTACTCGGGAAAAATTATGATGCTACAAAAACTGTGAAATAGGTCTCCTGAAATGAGTTAAGGAAGGTGAAGTCAACTGTCTGTACACTCAATGGAAAGTAGGTCAGTTGTGTGGGCTGTCAAAAGAGAAGCAAGAAAATCAGAACAAACAGTGCAGATGTCCATTGCAGAAAATTTCAATATATTTTAATTGTTTGATCAGTGTTGACGATATTGACTTATATAATCTGATTCTGGTTAATAGTCCTCAAATGCTTGTAAATAGTAGGAAAACAGATTTTATATAACCTTAGCAGTTTTAGAACATACTATTTCTATATTATTTCTAGTTCACTCATCATGCATTGAAACTGTTGTCTTCTAGGTTTGAAACAAAAAAGCAATGGAAAAAAGTAATGTCTTCCTAGCCTCAAATGTAATCAATGTATACTATAAAAACCTAAACCACTCAGTATTGGAGACACCAGGTCCACCCACACAGAGCTTTAGGTAGTTGATACTTTTCATTTCCTTGGATGTAATGGATGTGATTTTATATTCAACACACACAAGCCATATACCAATAAATCTTCTTTCTGAAGCCAAACTCAGGATTTAAATGGCTTGTGCTATCACAAGCTCTAAAGAAAAACATCAGTTTAAAAAACCATTTTGATTCAAAAGTATGCTTTGACTTAGCCTGTCTTCTTTTTTGCCCTTCTTCACAGAAGTAGATTCCCTGATGGCTTCTTACTGCATTCTTTGTCTTTCTTATGCATTAGCAGAATAGTTTGTTTTCCATAAAGCTCCAGGCTACTACGACTTCCTTCAGCTACTATTTAAAGACGGGAATGAATCCCTAACATAATCACATCTGACATCACCAGCATTGGTGTTCATTTGTATATCTAGGCTCTGTAGCTTCAGTAGCTAATTTATATAATGAGGTGGAGAATTCCCCTCAACCTATAAATATGAGACATAAGCAAGTTCTCATCAGCATAAAATAAAAGGTAGCTACATATGGCTGGTAAGCTGGGGCTTCCTGAAATGAATTGCTCCAATTTTCGTTTGTGTGTTAATTATTCAATTTTTTTAAGTATTTTCTGTGACAGATGGGAAAATGTGTCTGTGTCAACCTGGTTTGACACATTTTGCTTTGTGAATGTGTTTCTATAAATGCCTTCAGAGACTATGTATTCTATCTTATTCGATACTGGATACTCTTTATATGTATACTTAGGTCAGATGACAGAGTTCATTTAGAATATGGTATCTGTGTCCTTATTTTAATCCTTTCAAGAATCATTGAGAAGTTCTTCTTCCCAAAAAAGATGTCTAGGGTTTTTACCAGAAATTCTCATTTGCATAACTCTGAACGCTTTTGATCAGGTAAGATTATGATCTCATTGATTTTTTTCCTGTCCACCAGTATAACATCTTCATCTGTCTTTTATTAAAAATTTTATCAAATAAGACATTAAATCCTGGTTTGCTTTAGTTACAAGTATTCCTTTATTTTTTTTAAAGAGTATTGTGGTGGTTTGACCTTGGCTGGATGCCGAGTACCAACCAAAACCTCTTTATCACTCCCCTCCTCAACTGGACAAAGGGAGAGAAAACAATATTATGACAGGTACCTGGGTCGAGATAAGGACAGGAAGAGATCACTCACCATTTACCATCACAGGCAAATCAAACTCTACTTGGGGAAATTAATTGAATTTGTTGCCAATCAAACTAAAGTAGGGTAATGAGAATAAAAAACAAATCTTAAACCCATATTCTCCCCACTCCTCCTTCCCGGGCTTAACTTTATTCTCAATTCTCTACCTCCTCCCCCCCGACAAGTGGTGCATTGGGGATGAGGAATGGTGGTTATGGTCAGATAATATGTGTTGTTTCTACCTCTGCTTCCTCCTCAGTGAGAGGACTCTTTCCCCTCCTCCACAGTCCTTCCCACAGGAGAGAGTCCTCTGTGAACTTCCTCAGTGTGAATCCTTCCAATGGGCTGCAGTTGTTCATGAACTTCGCCAGCGTGAGTCTCTTCCACAGAGTGTAGTCCTTCAAGAACAACCTGCTCCAGTGTGGGTCCTCTGCAGTATCACAAGTCCTGTCAGCAAACCCGCTCCAGCATGGGCTCCTCTCTTCACAGATCCTACCAGGAAACCTGCTCCAATATGGGCTCTTCTCTTCATGGGTCCACAGGTCCTGACAGGAACCTGCTCCACTGCAGGCCTCTCATGGAGTCACAGCCTCCTTGGAGGCATCTAACTGCTCTGGCATGGGCTCCTCCACAAGCTGTGGACCTCTATGAGCTGCAGGGTCACAGCCTGCCTCACCATGGTCTTCACCATGGGCTGCAGGGAAATCTCTGCTCCAGTGGCTGGAGCATCTCCTCCCCCTCCCTCACCAACGTTAGTGTCTGCAGAGTTGTTTCTTTTACATATTCTCACTCCTCTCTTCTCTGGCCACAATTTCACCTCTGCAATAACTTTTTTTTCTTCTTAAATATGTTAGCACAGAGGTATTACTACCTTACTACCATCACTGATGAACTCATCCTTGAACAGCAGCAGATCCATCTTGAAGCCAAGCTGGCATTGCCTCTGTCAGACACAGGGAAAGCTTCTAGTAGTTTTTCAGAGAAAGCCCCCACTACCAAAAGCTTGCCACACAAACCCAATACAAACATTTTTCTATTTTGCAAGTTTTATGTCAAACAGAGGTGGTAGCTCTTTAAGGCTGCCCTTGTTAGAGCGCAAAAGCTCTCCATCCCTGCGTGTAGGAAATCAAGCAGAGCATGCCAGAAAATGTCATGGCTGAGCAAGGATGTGCTCCCCACACAAGAGTAAGAAGGGAATGTACAGTTAGTGAAAACAGGGACAGGTGACCTGGGGAGAGTGAAGGGTTGGGATCAGAAAAG